AAGCCGACCAGAGCGACATAGAAAATTGCCATGCATGGATGCAGGCATGCATAAATTCATACATACATGAGCAGTTGCATGCACACATGCATGGAGGTCTTGCAGCGGCGGCGTCTGCAGAAGCAGAGGCTGTCATGAAGCGTCTTTGCGCGGATTTCTGGGTGAAGTGTTGGTTTCGAGTGCGTTGTCGACAACTGTCAGGCCTTGCAAGAAGCTGGGCAGGAAGTGGAACATCTTTGGAGTACAATACATGTACAGCACCGACAGCGACGGCTGGTCGGAGTGGCGGGCGTCCTTTGCAGTTCTACCAGCGTTTTGGCTTCGTACATGCATGCCTTATAAATAAGGCATGCACGCAGCGCGGAGGTGATTCTTGCCGGATGGGCTTGCAAACCTGACATCGGCCACCGGCTAGACAAGGAAGCAGCTCATCTCCGGCGAAGTGGCGGAGCAGGGCAAACACCGATGGTGACGCGGCTGAGTGATGCTTCGGCCCCGAAGCCAGTCCATGTCCAGCTTTGTGCATAGCAGGGTGCTCTGGGTAGTACACTTGCTGAAGGCTCGCACGGCACAGAAACGCGCAACAAACAGAGCTCCATGACTATGTGGTATCAGAAGCATTTTTAACTCAGGAGGGATTGGATCTTCCGGTTCTCGCGCACATTCTGGCTTCCCAGCTCTTCCGCGCACTTTTCGCGGAAGGAAGGGATAACCAGGTTCGACATCACTGCGCAAGTCAGTTCCTACTAAGAGCCACTTGCGAGTGCTAGGTCCTTACTAGGTCCTTGATCCGCAGCTCCGTCGAAATTAAATCCAACTCACCGATTTCCGGCTTTGCAGTTCAACGCCCACATTCTTATCAATAGTTGTAGTAATTGTAGTAGTACAAGAGTAGTTTCAGTAGAGCCATCCGCAACTCCGTGACGCCGCCATGGATGAGCCGGTGGATAGCTCCACACGGGTCAGCAAAGGGTTCGAACAGTAATCATGTGCTAAATCAGACATATCCTGACTGGGTATGATGTAGTTGACACAGGCCGCGGAACCCCTGGTGTACATGAAAGACGTCGCACCGACAAGAAGATGTGATCCAGGCTTTGAACAGTGTGCCCTCGGTCGTGGCAAGGCCTGAACATGATCAGGATGCTCGGTTCGAGTTTGCCGTCCATACTGCCTGGATGTGACTCACATCCGCATCTAAACGTTCACACATTTCTTTGCATGTCTTATATTATTATGTTTCTGTGCCAGGCAAGCGCCCACAAACACTACATGTATACATGCATATGCATACAGACATACACACATACCCGCGTACCTGCATACATTACCTACCTACATGCCTACATACCTACCTATATACATGCCCAGAAGCTGGCCTTTTGAAGCCTACAAGACAAACAAGCGGCGTGCTCACACAGCGCCAACATTTCACAACAGGCGCTTGGCCGTGGCTCTTGTGAATTTGTCCTCGTCACGACGCTTGGAGCCGCAGCCGCCCAAAAGCAGAAGCCGTCGGAAGGTGTCGGAATGCTGCCGATAAGCAAACTTCTGTGGTGCAACCGTGGGTTGGACATGCAGTCGGCTCTAACTGAAGCGAAACTTGTAAACCACCCCAGGATTGGGTAGTGTGTCCAACACCCCTCTTTTCAATACTTCAGACCTCACTTCCCCGAACTGTGGTGAAGAATCTCGAATCCTGCAGCAGGCCTGGCACCTGCCGCCCAGCCTTGACATGGCAGCAGGGCAGAAGTAACGACATGTAACGACAAGAACCTTTTGCCGCCCTGCCGCTGCCTCAAGCTGTCCCCAGCCGAAGCAGAAGTGAGCAGACAAAACCCCACCCGAAAACACTTGTTTCATGATTTGGTCTGACTGTGCGAGAGTCCCCCGATTGAGTTGGTGGTCTCAGGTGTACGAAAATGTAGTTTTCTGGGATCTGGTTGGGTCTGCCAGCAGCCCGCGCTGTCCGCTCAGCAAGTGCAAGCAGGAGCAGCAAAACGATCACGCAAACCCCCGTCAGCCAGCAGCAAACAATTAAAGGCAATCGTGCAGCAGCAGGAAAAACCTGCATTTCCCGTGGCGGCTGCGCAAATTCGGTGTGCCGCCCCAGAAACAACTGTGCCGGAAGCCATCGTACCTGTCAGTGACTAATCTCCCTCAGCAGCAGCCAACATGATGGATCCCTGCATCGAAGCACTCAGCAGCACAAACTCGCAATAGTAGATACGTGCAGCAGAATGGCTTGAGTCTTGGCTCCACAGGTGCATAAGGCTGGAAAGGCATCTTGGCCCTGCCACGAAGCCCTGCAATGCGGAAGACACCCGAAGCCCTAAACTTCTTCGTGATGCAGTACCACAGTGCTTCTGCAGCAGTTGGTCTCCAGGAGATTTTTGTGCTCAATTTCGTCGATAAAACAGGTGAAAATGAGAACAAAATCTGGTGAAGACTGTCGTCATCACTGCACTCACTGGGACTAGGCAAAGCACAACGACACTTTTGAAAATAATTGCATTCATGAGAAGCTGATGGCAGCTTCACGCCTCGGCGTGGCCACAGGGACAGCGAGCGCGCTGGGCATCTGAGACTGGATTTGGGCCTCTGCCAGTTTCTGCATCTTTTGGGGAGGAGAGATATTTCAAGCAAGCCTCTGACTTAGATTTCTCATTTGCAGAGTTGGTCTTGCCAAGGCCGTTGGTCAATTCCTCACAGGAAGCCTCCAAAGCTGTTTTGGCGCCTCGGCCGGTGTTCCATTCGTATTAATTCCTGAAGTCGTTGATGATCCGTGGATGGTCCGACGATTGCCCTCACAGGTGCCGGCCAGGGTGCGCACGCAGTGCCGGCTCAGGCAGAGATGAGAAGGACGAGGTGTGCATGTAAAGCAGGAAGATGTCACCAGATACTACCTGCTGTGCGTTAGCCCGCTACAGTAGGGTCTCGGAGGCCTCCACATCAGATGCGACGCCATATCGTGGAAGATGCTCCGTTGAGGGGGTGATACTCCCTATTGCGGACACGGAGGACAGGCTTGAACCAGTAGCGTGCATACTTCACATCAGTACCGGCCCAGAAAGGCACCTGAGGATGACCAGGCTTCCAGTGCCTCAGCTTCTCTGGTTGAAATCCGTCAAAATCCTGCGCAAGTGTGGGCGTTGTGATGGCCAAGCAGGGAGGGTTCCAGCTGAGGCATAGACTCGCGACTGAGCAATCGATTGCAGCTAAAAGCCAGCAGCTCCTCAGCTGATGTACGACTGACAAATATTGTTCGTGCTGTGAAAGTTTTGGCCACCCCCTACAGAATTGTCACATTCCTCCTTGGTGCTGCCCGTATTGCTGTAGTGTGACCACAATCGGTCCCGTGGTTATTGTCTCATGTCACGCATGATGTCTTGTTGACACAGTATGACACCATGATGATGGTCATGAGCATTGCTGGTATCGATGCTGATGGTGGCAGTGGTGGTACTGTGATGGCTTCGAGCTTGAGTCATTTTGTGGGTTCCAGTACCATGCAGAAGCGGTAAATTGCATGAACTGTTGATGACGAGAGTCACTGTGGCAATGCTGCTTTTACTCCTCTAGTAAAAGTACTCGTATCATAGAAGTCATACACTTGAAGACGGTGCAATGTTCCCATTTTCATAGATGTTCATTGCTGACCGCTTGAGCTGAACTTTGCAGCCGTGAGTCTGAGTCTGCACGCTCACAGGTCAGCATTTGGGCTCGACAGAAGAAGGCCCTGGCATGCATCTTGATGCTCATTCAACAGTGGCACATGTTGTCAATGTAGTTGTGCATGAGCCGAGGGTCAACGACACGCCAGCCGAGCTGTGCTAGTGGACACTTAGGTATGCTGAAGTTCCATCCGATCGGGTAGAAGACAAGACCAAGCTGCAACACTGCCGCACGAAGATGGAGGGCCTTGTGCTTCACTGTCTTGCCTTCAATCTGCGGCTGCAGGTATCACGTGCATGACAGCCAGGACCACCTGGATGCGTTTCAAAACGTCTTCCGCCGGCTACGGCGTACAGGGCGGGATGACACCGACAAGGATGTTTCGAACTCCATGTTGAAGGCTCGGCAAGGCCTAAGGCCTAGGGCCCTGGCTCGCGCGCGCGCGCCCCGCCCTGCAGCTCTCGAGCCAGGCCATGGAGTATGCGAGAAAGAAGAAGGAGGGCGGATGAGGAATTCCTTGCCTCGGCAGGAGTTTCCGTGAGTAAGGAACAAAACATCGCCTGCACCCAAAATGATCAGAGCAAGCTGCTGGGTCTCTTCTGCAAGCCTTCAGTCCCGGTCCAGCTGACACAGTAGCCTTCAGCTGCCTAGCCATGGGCTCATGGATGCAGGATTGTCTATTGTCTGGGCCTTGTCACCAGTTGTTGGCCAGCAGAGTCCAAACTTGATCAACAAGTACGAGTGTTGCGTCTATTGCCACTTGCAATGAAAGTGCAATCTCTACTTGCGAGCAGCTGCAGATAGGTGTGGTGAAGGGCTGGTGTAAGTTTAAGCTGATCTCCTGCATGATTGGCGGATCGGACCGGGATGCAAGCGTCGCAGCCATCGCCAAAGTGCGGGCTCATGCACCATGCCGATGCGGAGCAACTTCTTGGAGTTATGCACCTGGCGCGAAGGCGGCTCCCCTCTTCTTATGTGCTGCCGTTAGCTCTGCTCGTCTCGCTGCATCATCGGAAGCCGCAAGCGACGACTGCAATGTATGTCGAGAGCCCTTTCAGACCATTTGCGCTTTTTTCCACCCCTTTCATCCCCTTGCTGTCCGTGTACCCGGGTCTGCGAATGTGCACTGATGCCACAGAAATGCATCGGGAACCCACCTTGAAGAAGGTGGCCCAGCCGGCGAGCTGGCATTCTCGTCCCTGACGCCCACCGAGACAGTTCAACGCCCCTGGCTTGCAAATCTTCGTAAGTTCTGCCCGGGCTAGGTTTCGATCAGCGGCTCGTCATGTGAAGGACAAGAAAAGAAGCTTCGATGGACTCCGCATATGGCCATGATGCGCAAGATCATGGCTGGGCAGGGCAGTGTCCTGGGTCAGCCCTTGCCAGAGTCTTACTGATACTGGTGCGCATGAATACATGCCGGGATGTGCATGCCAGCTTTTGTGAGGTCAAGGCTTCTCACGGAGCGAGCCCGCTGCACCGAATCCGAGATTGCAACCGGCAAGGCACCATCCCGGCAGTTCAGGGGCAAGTATGGCACCCCTGCCAAGTGCTGATCTCAGGTCCAGACGCTTCACAGGGAGATTAGCCGCTACAAGCGCCCGAGCGTCGTGAAGAGAACTTTTTCACCTTTGGCCGGGCTGCTTGCCTCAATTGCTGGTCAGCATTCCCCGGAAGACTCCAAGCACTTTGCTCGAAACAAAACACTCACGATTCGTTGGCTCTAATGCTGCATGACGCCACTACGTAGCACCACAACTCGATGATGTCAGTTTGACCGTGAGCTCGCATGGCAGACAGAAGCACATCACGTGGCCTCGGCCTTTGTCAGTGTAGCCTTGTGATGCAGTGCGCAACGGTCGAAGGCTCATGCCGCTAACGCAAGACAAACCCAAAAGTACATCCGTTACCATTGAATAGCATTTGCTCTTTCGAAGAATACCTGAGGAAGTCTTTGGCCGGGCTAAGAGGCCAGAAGAGCGATGAAGGCTCGATGGCATTAGAGACGAAAATGCTTGGCCCGCTTGGTGGCGCCTGAGCTTCGACTGTTTGAGGCCTTGACCTGTGGGGCAAGCTCGAAGACGAGCCGAGGGAGGGACCGCAGGGACCGCCGACTCCGAAGAGTCCTCCTGGTGCCGGCACTTCAACTCTGGACCTTCGCGAGCTTGAAGACGCCGGCGAAGTGGGAGGAGCTGCAGTCGGCACAGTTTTCTGTCACGCGCTGCCCCAAGTCTAGCAGCATGTTGGAGGAGATGGACAGCCATCGAGCAGCGACAGCTCGGAAGATGCTCGTCAACTGTTTGAGTGACCTGCATCATGCAGTGCATGTGACAATCTGCCGCAGAAGACCTGTAGGGTGTTTTGCAGAAGAAAACCCTGTCTGCACCCTCAATTTCGAACGAAGTATCGGCCCATCGTGAAACGCGCGCCAAAGCAGTTACACAAATACTGGCGCAGGTTTTCGTTAGCATGGCTGCGAGAAATCTGGATTGGGGTGGCAGGAGCACTTAGACGTTGGGCAGTTTTGTACAGCTGAGGAAGAAGTGGACGAAACGCCTCAGACGATGCGGTCGATACCACCGGTGCTCTCCAGGTGTGGAAGCCGGGAGGAGACCAACAGCACCTGAGAAAAAAAAACAGCTCTTCGCCATGTCTCGGACCCGAGACATGTACAATGATGTCTAGGTAAAGGGACTCGCATGTCAAAGGCAACGCCCGAAAGCCTGCATGCTGTAAGTAAATATGGCGCATCTTTTCCTGATTTTCTGTCAACCTCAGGCAACTGCTCCGGTCAGTCGCCTCGTCACTCGCTTTCGCGTACCAGCTTGGTGCGCCGCCTTGCGTCGGAAGACGGTTGCTGGCATGCATAAGGCGCTGCTTCGTTTGAAGGGCTCGTCTCCACGGAATGACTCCGCCGAGGTGAGGCAGCAAGCCAGGCACCACGCAACATCCGTGCTACGCTGAAAGACAAAATGTTGCTTAGCTCACAAGATGTCATCATCGTTTGATTAGGAGCAGGGACGGGGACCGTGAGTAGATGACAGTTGAGCGGCAGGGTCATAATGATATTCAACGATACTCTTGCAGCTCTGAAAAAACACTTTGATTGTGTGGCCGCCGCTGGCGTCTTGCTGGCACACACAAAAGCTGCGAATTCTGTGTTGCCTGTCTACTGGCTGCACACATGCGCAGAAGCAGATCCAACTGTGCGCCGAGGCAGAACAACGGAAATCAGGACTGGACCTGCAAAGAAAAGTCCGGGTTTAGACAGGACTGGACAGGACAGGAGCGAGGTGACATGCGAGAGAGACCTGGCTAGAATCGGAGAGGGTTTCAGGAGAACTTCATGGGCAAAGATCCGTTCAGAGAAGGAGTCAGTAACATCACCAACACATGAGCGACAGGTGTTTTTCTCTGAAGAGCTAGACTGTCTACGGGGGGATTAGCAGAAGATCGTTGCAGGTAAGAGCTCCGCTGGTGTGGGCCGCGATAACGTGTATATGCTGAAGGGTCGATATTGGGTTTCTATGACCCGCGATAACGCGAGAGACCAAAAACGATAAGGCTATCGCTTGCTGCTTTCCGGTGGCAAAATGCAACGAATAAACGCGCCCTACCTTGCAGGTGTTTGCTTTCATGGGAGGGCCAGCATCGTAAAGGGATCAGACGACGGAGCCTTGATTTTCAGGTTTTGGTCGGGTGTCCACATAGTGTCGAAAACAATAACGTAACGATAACGAGCTTGCAGCAAAAAGTAGGCTTGGCAGCGTGTTGCCCAAAATGCCTCCGACAGAGATCACGCATTTGAAGCCGTTTTGCTGAGAAACTTTGTTGCAAAGTGGCTTACAGCGTGCGTCTTCAAAACGGCCCAACCTACAAAATCCTTTCTCAGACCTCCGAAATGCGGCCAAACCTGCAACTTCGGGTTTGTAGCAGAGTACCAACCGAAGCCTCTGCCCCAGTCCCGGACCGTTAAAGAATCATTTGTTGTGAAATGCACTGTCACCAAGAATGCCGTTCAGCCTGACTGGCCGGCGATAGCGTGAAATACCAAAAAACGATACTCTATGTTGCTAAGCCGCGGAAGTACTCTTCAGTTTTGCCGCGCGCTCATATGGTCGGTGATTCGAGCAAGAAGCTCGCTGTACAACGGGCTTTGAGGACGGTTCGTTGTCGGCGGGCAGATTTACATGTGAAAGGACCGGCTCAGGACACGGAAGCTCGGGTGAGCGCTGAACCCGTTGCAAGCAGGCCAGAGGGAGAAAGAGGCCTTGGATGCAGAAAGACCTTTCGCCACGCATACAAAGTGCGCAGAGAGATTGAATCCGCACGACCATGGAGGTAGGAGGCCGCGAAGGAACTGCAGATACAGAGTTTAGGCCGTGTGCTACTTCACATTCTGGCTGTTGATTGATTCAGCATCTTGCACCTTGCACCTCACGCCATGCAACATCAGCCTGCGTATGTTGCAATGGTACTTCGGGCGACATAGAGATCAAAAGCGTGAGCCAAGCAGAGCTAATTTGTTTGCAGCGTGAGTTGATCGGGCATCGCATCGGTAGACGATGGAAGACTGTAAAAGACGATTAGCAGTGTGGAATCTGTTTTGTAAGTTAATCCTCGAGGTCCTCCGCACGAGGTTCAAACGAAACCCTCGTTGTCAAGGCTTCCCCAGCGACATGGATCAAGCCGTAGCGTCGGCCTAGCAGATCTCTTGAGACCTCGGACTCGGCTTGGCGATGAGCGCCCGCAGATCTAAGTCGCTGGACTTAACGCAAACAAGTTTCACAAAAGACGCAAACGAACGAATCTCCTGGTGCTCTTCGAGGTCGGCGCAAGCGCATGTAGTCCAGCAAGCCAGCAGCTCCCTCCAGGATGTGCGCGAATTGCTCCATGGATTGGGAAGTGCCTGGCCATGAGCAGGGGGCAAAGATAGGAGAAGAGCACGGCGGATCAGCTTATGAGCAAATGCTGATGGAAGGGCAGTTGGCTTCTGCGGGACAGTTCTGGCAGGGCCTTCAACAGGTTCTGCCACAGGTTGTAGCGGCAGTGCAAAGTCGACTCATCGGAATTTGAAGCAGAAGGTGTGGCATCCGCTTGGTCTCAGGAGAGGCGACACTGTCAGTCTTATCAGAAGATGGAAAGACACCGAAAGGAGTCGGACAGCCATCCTTTCGTTATGATGCTGTGACAGTCTGAATGCTTGAGACGTGCAGGAGCCGATCAAGACGATCATCGAGCATCATATCGATTTGGTTCGCAGCCTAGAGTACAGCGCCCGTGGAAGGCTGCGGAGGCTTCTCAAGAAATCATCGAGGCCGTGCCATATACGGTTTTTAGTGCAGGGCCGGACTGTGGACTAGGGCTGGGCACCCGAAGTGGTCAAACTTCGTTGGCAAAGGTCGGAAGACGACCTTCACGATTAACAAGGCGGCAAAGAAAGGTCGGGGGGGTCGGGTCTTGTGCGTTGTACACAGCATCTTGACAAAAGCTCGTGTCAAGGTTCCCGAGCGAAGATTCGAGCCAGTCAGGCTGATGGAAAAGGAAGCGGGGAACAAAAGAAGGCCCGAGAAAAAGGACCTCTGCCATTTCGAGTCATCAGCTCCTCAACGGCATATTTTCTTCACGAGATGGTGGCAGCAGCTTACTGTCCGCTGAACTCCGTTTGCCCACAGGACCGCTGCAGGCCTAAATTAAATGCCCTTACCAGCAGGTTCGTAAGCAGCATGATGCTAGGACTGCTAGGACCGGAAAGAAGTTGTGCAGACTGTCGCTATACGCCGTGAGGTTGGAGCTCGCAAAAGCGGAGCTATCGCTCTGCTGCACAAAACTTGGAGCCTCCATCCGACCAGGCCAAGAACTTCAGTTCGCTGTGCGATACGGATAATATTCAGAATATGAGGGATGTCACCCACAAGGTTTGATGCTTCGTATCACCCTCGTTCCGAGACAAAACACATGACCCAAGTCTGCAATCGATGTGGGGGAGGTTGGATGATCCGGCCAGTATTGTATTCCTTTTAGGCGAGTCAAGTCTATCTGACTGAGACACATATTGGCACAGCTGCGAGAATTCGAGCATTCTGCTCAAGCCTCCAAGGCGTCGCTGTCGCGGCAACTGGCCGAGCTGGAGTCTGGCACGGGTATGGCGAACCAATGGGAGACGGATGCTGCACCGGAGCATTTCCTTTTCCTTGATTTTGGTATGGAAGCTGCTGCTTGGCTTCTTTGAAGTCGTGGCCAGGAAGCCAAACTGTGGTCAGAGCTCGTTAAAGTCTCCAGTGCCGAAGACTTGTTACCGAACTCGCCTTGGTGCAAGGAGATCACCAGGGTAAAACTGCGCTGCACTGGAACGCTCTACGATCCCAAGAGTGTTACTGTCATGCGCGCTGTCGTCGGCGTCCTCGAAGTTGTCGAAGAACATAACCGGCTGGCAGAAGAGGCCGGGCAGCATCCATCATCAGCACCACTCACCAAGAGCAGATGAACATAGCAAAGGCAAGACAAGCACGGTAGCTGCTGGCACCTGTAGAACTGTAGCCTTACATGTCCGAATTCTTGTGATCGCTGTCGGATCTCCTTGTGAGAGAAGTACGGGGAGTCGTATGGCGAGTCGTCAGGAGTCGAATTGCGGTCGAAGGCAATGACACTCTGCATGGCAGGATTCGTTCTGCAGCAACGGGGTGGCACGGCTGCCTGTATCCTACCAGAAGTCTGTGGGCAATGTAGCCGGGGGGCTGTGGCGGGGCGGTGCAACAAAAGCCTTTGACCGATGGAAGCTACATGCATAACAGGGGGGGGTCGTGGCAAGCATTCAAAGGCGGAGATCCTCGAAAGTCTGCACCTTCGCGGCAGAGCATGGTGATCGCGTGCTCGTACCTTCTGTCTGCTTCAGGGTCGTGTTGTTCTTCAGATGAGCCTCCTCCCTGGTTTATTGACGTGACGATACACTACACCATGCTGCGGCCGTTATTGTTGAGAGCAGTTCGTCCATTGGGTTGGCTCGGCGAATGGCGGAGGTTCTGCGTTCGTCCTATGCCTCCTGATACTCTAGCCTGCCATTACGTGCTCCGGAACCACACTTTGGCTAGAGTCAAGGTGAAGTGCAGGAAGCCGAGTCTGTCCAGACAGCTGCCCGAGAGTGGGTTCAGCGGACAGGCTGTTGCCGGACAATCCCAACACAAGTCTGCAGATAGTCAAGCATGTGAAGGTCCGTCGGTCGGTTGCTGTGTATGCGCAAGGTGCGAGTTATGGACGGCTGATTTTGGTGCAACGTCAGGGTACAGGGTCGGATACCGCTTGCGAGGCACAAAGATCACCCGAAGCCAGTGCGGTGAACACACTCGCATTGATTACGAAGGGAACCTGGGCCGTGATTGCAAGAGAGACCTGGCCGAACCGTTGGCATTTTCCATTCGAGATTTGCTTTCCTTTACACGTCTCTAGGTCTCCGTAGCTGCACGGCTTCGCTGAGGCATCTCTGAAGTCCGGTCCACAGGCTCGCGACCGGTATTCGCACACTCTGCGGTTCCCGCCCGTTCGCACGCGTGCCTGTGATGATCAAAGAGGGTTTTGGTGGCCATTGCATGCCGTTGCAAGAAGCGGAAGCGGTCGTGCGACGCTGCAAATCATGTCCTAAGGCTTCTTGCGAATCACGTTCCATGAGTCGCACTCGGCCTCCGGAACCTCTCCTGCAGTTGAGCGCTCGTTCACCGCTTTCCAGTCACAAGCAGACAGTCCGCCATGCTCGAGGCAACATGCGCCTGCTGCAGCCATTGGTTGTTTACGGCAAGCTGCTGCGTCCCCCAGTTCCAGCTCGTGCCTTGTCTGGAGTTGTCATGAGTTGTCTATGACAAGGCCGTGGAGTTGTCCTTCCCACATGTCAGACGGGTTTTCAGATTTTGTTTGAGTGCTGTCTCTTCCATCTGCTCTAAAGTGATCATCAGCTTGCTTCTACTCCGGTTGTGTGCCGGGGCGTCAGCACAGTTCATGTCCCCATGCATGTTCGCGATTACGGACGATCAGTGTCATCGATAGCTTCTAGCTCTAGCCTGCACTGTTCGCATCATGATCGTCACCAGAAGCGCCATCATCATCATCTTCTTCTTCTTGTCCGTGCGTCGCCGTTACAGGTTTGGGAGGTGACTTCAGTGTTTCAGTGTTGTCACACATTGCCGGTACTCGAGCACGAGCGCACATGTGAGGAGCAATCTGTTCGTGAGATCTGTTTGTTGATGCACAGGAATGCTGATAACTCGCAGGGTCATATTATTCGTCACGGCCATTGCGAGAGGGAAAAGTCACGGCATGGCGGCGAGACTGAGGCAAGCTTTCCACAACAATCATGTTCCATGAGCGCTGGGTCGATGAAATGGAGCGTTCAACGCGAAAGCTGGCACGGAAGTACCGGATACCCATTGACTACACCGAAACGGCCGCAAGGCAGCGTTTGTCCGTGATCAGGCACCAAGGACGATCCGTACATGCTGTGTCCGAAGAATCTAGTCTAATTACACGGACACAAGGCAGCCGATTGTGGTAGGTGACGGCTCGACGTTTTGAGCCAAGGTACTGAAAGAGTCGCACGGCTGCAGCGTGGTGTCTGCTTCGTCGTGATCGGTCTTACTTGTGATCTTTGCAAAATGCCGTGAGCAGGTTCAAGCGGTACGACACGGAAAATCGGGGCTTCCTGAACTTCACCGACTTCAAGTGCGTGGTCCGAGCATTGACCTACCGCCATCTGGGCCAAAAGCAAGACGTGCAGCTCAGCGGATTGTTCCAAAAAGTGCAGAGCCAGTAGACCTGAGCCAAGCAAGTCAGGATGCTTCAAGACAGCCACCTTCGAGCACTCTGGAACATCGTGGACAGAGATGGCGGAACGCTTAAAGCCTCCCAAGCTCCTCTTAGCTACGCCACAGAGATACTCGGAGGTAGCGGCTGCGTGGACTTCGAAGAGTTCCTGCAGTGGTTCTACTCCCATTTCCAGAAGGAAAAGCCCCCAGCAAGAAGCCTCCACTGCGCCACTCTCAGTGTGACTGACAAAGCAGACAGAGCTTTCCACTTTGTCTCCAGGCATTGCTTTACAACTGTTTGATAATATACTCCGCCTTGTACACATGAAACTGACATCTGTTTTCCTGCGGTTATATGTCTAACTTGTCATCCCACATGCATCTAGCCTCGACCAAGCCACCACACAATGAACGACCAAAGGGGTGTCAGCTGACCTACGGCAGTGGAGATACAAGCAAGGCGGAACCGAGAATTACGAGCAATTTGTGAGTAATTGTGAAGACGTCAAAATCGATGTCGATTGTCACGTTAGTAGTGCTCCTGCATGTGTCGCAGCGCTCATGTCCCATTATTGGCACATGTCCCGGTGCGGCCTCGTCCAATGGCAAGCCTGGATCATGGCAAATTCCAATGCATTGGCCTCATTGTGGCCTCGAAACGGCTGAATCCCGCCAGCACATCGGGGGAAGCAATGGAAGCATTCAAGTCGTAGTGCTCGCCCTGACAACGCCCCAAGCCACCAGATAACGTGGTACGGCTGTGTGTAAAACAGCCGGTACATACGCCGCTCAAGACCCATCAGACAATACGGGGAAGCATTGTGGTAATGGTGCTCTACAACGATGGAACCCTGAATCCCGCCAATACATGGAGGAAAGTCTTTTGGTGATGATGGTCCTGGTGGCATGCTGGGGTCTCCCGGTGGTTTCCTGGTAGTCTGCTCCTGGTCTCGTCGTGGTCTGTGAAAGGGGTGCCCGTGCGGGCGCGCGCGTAGGTGCTCGTTGTGTGCATCTTAGCTGAACTTTGGGATGACATATCAATCAGTGTAGTAAACTCGCGTTAGCAGTGGCCCCACTCAAGCCGGGAGCAAGCATTTGTCTTGTAGTACAGACTTCCCTTTCCAGTCAACCACGGGGCAACGCAGCCGACGCCTTGGGCTGGGGTTGTTTCGACCGAGATGGGGGACACTCTCCCACATCAGCAAGGTTGTGGACAATTAGCATGGGGCCAGCAGAGCAGCTAGAGCCAGAGTCCAGAGGACGAAACGTTGTCCTGCACGGGCACCGACTTACGTGTGAGTAGTTCCCTCCTGCCAAACGCTACAACCCCCTCAGGTTTACGAAGTTTACGTGTGTTCCTCTCGGTCTCCTCAAGCAAGCCAGGTAAGGACTACACAGCTGGGTGGAGCAGTGAAGTCATGGTTGGGAGTGATAGCCTCTTGTTCGTCGGGCTGTAAGTAATCAAAGGTCTCTCTCTTTGTCGTGGTGCTTGCCCGCTCGCTCGCTCGCTTCGTTGTTGAGGGAGCGGGTCAGCCCGGCACGCTCCGAAGCCATCCTAGACTCGGGCTTGACAGCGTGGTGCAGCGTGAAAGGTGGTCTGCAATTGCGGCTGCCCGTAGCCGTAGCCGTCCTTTCAATACGTACCGATCCATGCTTTTACAAATTCAGCTCCAGGCAACATTGACAGCGTCGGATACATGTCAAGGCCGATGCATGCCGATGCACTACCAGTCAACGTGTGCAAAGCAAAGCACAAACGAGCAGCTCTTGACCAGATCTCATCAGAAAGCCTAGCAAACAAAGCGGTGGAGCTACGGCTGAAGAGCTACTCATGCAAAGATCAAGCTTACCATGCAAAATCAGAAGGCTTACTGCAGTCGTAAAGCTCAAGGGCAGGGATGGCCATGTGAGGACATGGGAGGTATTCAGCTGCAACTTGCCACAGCATGCAATTGTGCGTGGCTGCGCTGTTTAGCACAAGGCTGTCCCCGGCAATTCACTGTTTCATACTCTGCTATCTTGCTTCAGCAGCCGTTGCCCTGCAACTTATTACTTCCATGTTGCACACTATGCTGCGCGAGCAAAAGCTGTTGACACTGGGGCGACGTTGAAAATCCTTGTGAAGCAACAAAAGTACAGTGAGTCTTCAACACAGAGAAAATGCTGGTAGAAGTGGCCATGTAGTTTTGCAGTCGACAAGCGTGCCTGGAACGACCACAGGTGACAGAATGGTGGATTCGGTGACAGAGCACTTCTACGCGTCCATGGGTGTGAACAGACTTCGGTGCTACGTGACTGCCCTCGAACCCGGCTGATGCCTCAGCCATTATATAACGCACTTTTGCAACGAGAAACATGTGTCATGAGTCATGTTTATGTTGCTGGCTTCATCCTGCCTGCTATGCAGCGCGGAGAGCTAAGAACCCGGACACGAAGACGACCAAGCAGACAAGGATTGGGGTGTTCCAAGGGATCAGGGGTGGTCGACATCGCTTGGCTACAAGTATTAAGTATAGTTATAGGTGCGACATGATCTCTGTGCAGGCTGAGTGTCGGGACGGGGCTGGATTGATTTGATTTTGCAGTATGAGAATCAAACCGCCCTGCAGACTCTGTCAAGGAGCATCGACGCGCCGATCAGGCCGTATGTCTAGCTTTGTACATCGTGAGTGGACGAAGTTGGGGTGATTGTTCAGGAGCACAGCTGGATTAGCAGATGCCCAAGTTTGGTTTCAAAGTTTTGATGTGCCGTTCTCCAGTGCTGTTGGCGGTGCTCTAGGTTTCAAGTACGTAGCTTGTGCTAAACTTAAGGTTTCTCCTTGCGTTCAGAAGTCACTGACCTGACTGAATCCGCCGTCTCAAGCTCACCGAGGGAAGGGATCACGCGTGTCAGATCAAAAGTGAGCTCAGCTGTTGCAGCCCAGGGATTTCTTGCACTAGATCCAGGCTCCTTTCAACAGCGATATAATCGCATTGGTAGCGACGCAGGGTTGTGCGCCCCTGGGCCCTGCATGGCGGCTCCTTTCTTCGACGAAGACCTGTTCGACTTCGATGGCGCGGCTGAATCGGAGAGAGAGAGCGCCGAGAGCGCTTCGCTGCCTGACAGTGTCCAAGATGGCGCTGGCGCGGCGGAAACGGGCGACCACACGGTGGGAAGCGAGCAAGCATCCCCGGGTGGTCGCAGGAAGAGGGGCTCACGTGGCGGCTCGAAGGCTTCATCGGGCAAGCCAAGTGAGAAGAGATGGCGCTCCGGGGCAGTGCCCCCGCCTCCTGGCTTCGACGGCGATGTGGAGCGGAACCCTTACTGTCTTCGACATTACAGAAGGCGACTCATGAGGTGGGTTCGCATCACTAAGGAGTTCTTGCCGGCCAACGAGCAGGCATTAAGAGCGCTGGAGCAGCTGTCCGGAGAGGCCGAACTGGAGTTTGAAGAGGTCAAGGACGACCGGTTCGACCGGGAGGACGGCATCAAGTTGCTCCTCGAAGACTTGGAGAAGGCCTTCGGCGAGAGAGAGATCTTCAGACAGGGAGGCGTGATCCGGGAGTTTGAAGGAGTGGGTCGACTCCAGGGGGAAAGCGTGACGGCTTTCGTGAGAAGGTTTCAGCTTTTGGAACGCAAACTTCAAGACAGCCGAGTTGCACCCTACCCTGAGCAAGCCCGCGTGGTGAAACTTCTTGACGGCTTGAAGCTGGACGAACGGGCCACCGCCTCGATCCTCCTCGCTGCTGGCAATCGCTACGAGCTGAAGCCGATTCTGGAAGCCATACGCATCCAGTACCCTCCGGGTATGTCCATCACGGGAATCCCGAGGGGGCTTTCGACATTGGGATCCCGGTCCTCGAGGTCCTCTGTGTCCCGGGCGTCTACGTATCGGACGTCTTCTACCGCAACTACCACCCGCAAGAATCCTCGCGGCGGACGTCGGAACTGGAACCAGTGGAACACCGATTGGAACGAGGACGTTCCCGAACATCCGAACGAGGACGACGAACCCGAGAACGAGGACTACCAGGGCGAGGACCAGGACGAAGACGAGCCCAATAACGACGCGGACCATGAGAACGACGAGGACGAGGAATTGGTTCCAGATCAGGACCGAGAAGATCCTGGGGACGAGTACCAAGATGATGGCTACTCCGCCCTGCTGGAGGCGGCCGAAGCTCTGACAGTGACCTCGAAGAAGCTGGCCGGGATCGTGCAGTCCAGAGGCTACTACGCCAATGACAAGGGCAAGGGCCGTCCAGTTGACAAAGGAAAGGGCAAAGGCGCCAAGCCGAAAGGGAAGGGCAAGACCAAGGGCGCCCCGAAGGGCAAACCCGGCAAAGGTCGGGGCAAGGGGCCAAGCGGTCCTGAGCGGACGGCTCGCCTCAAAGGCTCCTTGTGCCTGGGATGCGGATCCGCTGACCACTGGATTCGCGATTGCCCGCACCTGAGTACCTTCCAGGCCCAGCTGGCGAGTGTCGACGTCGAGCTGGATCCGGATGGCGCCCCTGTATATGCTAGCTGGATGACGGCTTGTGAGACTCCCTCGACTTGCGAGCAGCAAAACGACCTGCACTACCGGATCCCCGACGCACCCTCCATCATGCTCAGCACATGTTCGGATGCATCATACTTGATAGCAGACACTGGATGTCAGAGGCAAGTTGCAGGTAGCATGTGGCATCATCAGAGACAACTTGAGCTGAAGCCCCTGAAGCCGCTGAACTTTGGTGAAACGTGCAAGTTCTCTTTCGGGCCTACGGAGGGAATGCCGAGTATGGGGCGGTGGTTGTATCCAGCGGGTATCGCGGGGGAAGTTGTCCAGCTGAGCATCAGTGAGGTGTCGGCGAACGCGCCGGGCCTCCTCTCTCGTCCTGCATTGGAGGCTCTCGGGGCTGTTCCTGATCTTGTGGAGGGCACCATCTACTTTCGAGCGTTGGGCAAGTCTACCAAGCTGTACTTGAGTCCGTGTCGACATTTAGCTTTGAAGATTGATGAGTGGCCTCAAGAGCAGTTCGAATGGCCCCCGACTTCACCCTCCACCGAGTTCAATTCCCGAGGTCCTCCTGATGTACTTCATCCGAACTCCTTCCGTCCCGAGAGTGTGAAGCTTCAAGCAATCGGAAATTCGAAGGTAGCCTCGCAGCCCCCACCTCATGCCCTTGCAGTCCGGGCCGAAGGGGGTGCCGGAATGGATCCTCCGTTGGCGAGCGCTGCTGACCCATGTGATGGAGTTTGTCTACTCGACCTACCAGGCGGTCCTCTACTACTCAGCGACGGCGTTGCACCCCTCCCTGAAGGACCGGATCCTCCGCGTGTACATGCTACCGTCCTCCGCCGTGACGATGCTCACCACTCAGGCGGCCATGGCAGCCACGGCGGCGCTGCAGCTGAACAGCTACCCGCGATCACCGGCGACTTGCGATCATACCCAGGCGCCGGGAACGAGAGTGTATGGAGCTGCGGGAATCCGAATCAGGATTTGCGACGGGTGCGGTTCTCGATGGGCGATAGCCATGGACGGACAGGCCCTCGAGGTGGTTCCGAAGGCGAACCCCAACGCAAAGACTCCTCTCGGCTTGACGGACACCCAGCGAGCTCGAGTGCTGCCGCCGAAGAACAAGGCAAAGGCCACCGCAGGGCCAGATCCTCCTTCGGCAAAGTCGTCACAGCCCTCATCGGGCTACTTGCGGGAGCCATTGCAGGGCACGGTGACGTCGGCTATGGCTCCACCGCCTCCGCCCCGCTCGACGCTTCTGACTCAGACTCGGAGCCCGTCTATCTTCCAGATGAGTGGACAGAGGCGAACGCCACAGAGGCAGTGGCATGGAGGCCGATCTCAGGCGAGCTCCGACACCGACGGGATGAGCGTCACCTCGGAACCCACGGGCCGTCGAGCACGCAGGACCCGGCGCCAGGACCACGAGGGCGAGGGCGAGTTCATGACGCAAGAGGAGATCCACCAGGCCATGGACCAGTACCTCGGGGACCAAGTCGAGGACGAGAACCACTGGGAGGAGCTCATGTCCCGAGACGACTGGGAGGTGGATCAGCTGAGCAACATGCCTCTGGAGATGAGACGAGAGTTCGAGAGCCGAGGAGTGCTGTGAACTCCCCACTTCATCCCCAAGGATCAGCAGATCAGCCACTGACGCCGGACGACCGGGGTTGCTTCGCTCTCAAGTCAGGCACTCGTAAGCGCCTCGCAGGCGCCGCCAAGGCTCTCTTCGAGAGTTGGGAAATCGAGGCGAAGATCTACACAGCGAGAACGCTGGCATGTCGCGAGTTGCGGAAGTACAAGTCCGACTTGCTGGAGGTTTACTGCGAGAACCCCCGCTTCACTGAGGAAGCCTTGGAACAAGGACTCCGGGCCCTCCAACCTCTCCGAGCCGGCGATCCAGGACGAGTTCCCGGCAGCGATCTACTTCTTCAACTACGAGAGCTCCTCCCCCGCCGGATGCCATATCTCGTCATTTGGTTACCAGGTGCTTTCCTCCGCGAAACCTCGTCTACGACAAGCGCCCGAACTACGTGTTCGTCGGGTGCACTGGACACCATCGGCAGGATGTGTGAAACCATTGAGTTCCTTTACCAGAAAGGAATTCACTTTCTGTTGGAGCTCCCGCGCATTGCGGACATTTGGGAAACCAGCGGACTTCGAGCACTTCAACGACTTCCTGGAGTGGACGTGAGGCGGAATTTCTCGGATCAAGGACCGTGCGGCTGGATCAGCAGCTTACCTTCTCTGCTACCATCACCGAACTCCAGCACGAACATGCCCCCCGAGAACCTAGTCCACGCGCTGAGGGAGCAGATGCGCCAAGCCGGTGATGAACGCTGGAACCAATGTGCGGAAGCTCCCGACGGCTTGCCCACGGAGCCTTCGGCCTGGGTTACCGGAGTCAACCGGGACCTGAATGTGGACGAGCCCGAACTTGTCTGGGATCCTCCTGGGGAGATGACCTGTCAGTCTTATTTTCTCGACATCAACCGCCATCATGAGTCCTGGAAGCCGCTTCTCCTGGAAGCAAACAAACGCTTGCAGGGTCTTACGACTTCCTCTGTGACCCTGAAGGCTTCCCCGTTCATGGAACAGGTCAAAACGTTGGTTCCCTGGAAGATCAAGAAGGTGCAGATCTTTCGAGCACCTAAACAAAGGCGACTGCCACAGGATGTCCTTTTGGACGGAGTACAACATCGAGGAGCTGCTCTGATGTTCAACGACGAGGAGATCGCGCTGGAAGCAGAGGCGGTGGCCTCAATCATGGATAGTCCAGCAGGCAAGTACACCAAGCCGGTCCGAGTGGCGATCTACTTCTACGGCGACGCCCCTGCAACCAGTATGAATGACCAGCAGAACCTGCAGCCCGAGGCAGCACGTCAAGCCGGTCGAGTGGATCCTCGTCCTGACCCCGAGCATGTGCTTCATCCAGGGCAAGCTGGATACAAAGACATCTCCTTTCCAGGAGCAGAGGCCCCATCTTGGGTGCTACAAGTACTTCGACGGCTCCATACGAACCTCGGCCATCCTCCAAAAGAGGTTCTGATCAGACAGCTGGTCACGGCTGGAGCTGCGGATGTAGCCGTCAAGGCGGCAAGATGTCTCAGATGCGAGACGTGCCTCCGGGTTTCCCCTCCGTTTGAGCCCAGAGCAGCGAAAGCGACACAGGCCCGCCGCTTCAATGACAGGGTCTACATGGACATCCTGTATATCCGAGATGTTCGAGGCGGCACGCATTTGTACTTGAATCTCGTTGACGACGGGACGGTGTATCAAGCTGTCTCTCGACTGGTGAATCGCTCCGAGGAGACCGTTATAACCGCCCTCGTCAACGGGTGGTTTACCTTCTTCGGGCCGCCCGACGAGCTGATCATCGACGCAGAGGGCGCTTTCAGAGGCATGCGATTCGAGACACTTCATGCCCAGCTGAGTGTATCAGTACGAGTGATTCCCCCGGACGCACATTGGCAGCTCGGTCGCGCAGAACGCCACGGACAAGCCCTCAAGTATAATGCGACACGGCTCGTGCACCAATTTGCAGCTCTTACGCCGGCGGAAGTGAATATCTGCGTGATGATGGCCAATGATGGCCACCTCCGCAAAAAATCGGCTAGTACGTCGAAGCGGATCTAGCCCTTGTCAGTGGGTGTTTGGCCGTGATCCTCGATTACCTGGAGCCCTGTTGTCCGAAGGTGGCAGCATTGAGTCGGCACAACTTTTGTCGGACTCCCAGCGGCTCCTTCAGCTCGAGGCCATCAGGACGCAAGCGCTGATGAACCACCATCGGTTCGAAGCCCACGAGGCCATTCGCAACGCCTTGCTGCGCAAGAGCCGGCCTTATCGTGGGACCTTCACTCCGGGACAGAAGATCGCTTACTACCGGAAGGCCACCCAGACGGGCGACGGCGAGGGCTCCATCGAGGGCTACCGCCAGGGCATTGTGCTCGCCTTGGACCGCAACCCGTCCTCCAACGTCGCGGCCAACCTCTGGATTCGCAACTCGCGTGGGCGCATCGTGCAATGTGCTCCCGAGCAGTGCCGCCCCATCGCTGGCGAACAGGAGTGGTGGACGCCTGACGAGCAGGACCTGGAGGTCTTAAAAAATTGTGACGAGGATTTGCGGATTCATCCGCGAGCTTTTCGGGCGGTCGACCGTCCAGGCCCGGCAACAGACCGCGAACTTTTGGAGCAGCCCGCCGCAGAGGAGTTGCAGCAGCCTTCAGCAGTGGTGCCGCCGAGCCCTTTCAACTTTGGCTCGCCCGTGCCCGGCACTCCAGTTGCGCCTGCGACCCCTTCTGGTCAGGCGGAGCGCCCACCACCGATGCTTTTGGACGAAAGGGGTGAGCCCATTCAAGAGTCACCCATGTTCAGTCCTTTGATGTTTATGCCGAAAACACCTCGCTCCGCTCCGGGCACACCCAAAGCGAGCACGCCGAGAGCTCGGGCGAGATCGCGATCGGCAAGTCGCACGGCGGGCAAGGCTGGACCAGAACCCGAACAGGATCTACATCCTTCAGATCCCGCACTTCCTGGGCCCCCTCGACTACCAGATTCGGGAGTACCAGAGCCGCAAGCGGCCCGAGGACCAGGAGAGCATCCCTTGGACACCGAGGAAGCGGCCTTCGCGAGAGTTCCGTCCGGATCAGATCGGACTAATTTACCCGGACAGGATCTTCCTTCAGATCGCGCACTTCCTGGGTCCCTTGGCGCCAGCCGACGAGTTTCTGATGTATCGAGTCCAGGTCTCGTAAGACAAGCCTCAGCACAGTCTGGTCCCTTGAAGAGCATACAGGAGTTGGACTCGGCTGCTGCGCGAGGTGTGAAGAGACCCCCTACAGTTGCCATTGGAGAAATGGAACCAGCCTCCGTGGTGGCGAAGTCTGTGACTGGTGCCACTTCTTCAATGGGTTCGAAGCCTTCCCCACTTGAGCTTGAGTCAAAGGCTCTTTTGTTGTTTTGTCAGGACTGCGGCGAGCAGTACCGCAATTTTCCCAAGCAGTGCCTACGATGCGGAGGCGGTCGTTCTGTGTCTACCCCGAACGAGGTGCGCTCCTGGCTGGACGAGGTGAAGGAAAAGGAGGCCTTTGACGTGATGGTGGGCCTCCCTAAGGGACGAGTGCCTCTCGAGTACCACTTCAATGCCCAGGACGAGATCGACTACTACCAGACGCAGACTTCCACTACATCGACGTTGCTTGCCCAGCCCACGCACGCGAAGCCAGGAATGCATCGCCTGGATGTTCTTCGCCGACACGGCCGAGGAAGCCACCTTCGGCACGGTTGGGACGGTTCGCCGTCCGAGATGCAACTTTTTTTCGAGAATGATTCCTTCCTTACTGCTGCACACTTGGCCGGAGCGAGTGAACCTACACCCTCCTCGAGCCAGGAATACTTCGAGGCCCTTGTGACCAGTTCGAGGCCCCCCACGTCACGCACTACGACCACCTCTCTCTCGGAAGGTCTCGCTCGACTGTTGTTGCAGCGGAAGGACTATGAGTGCGAGAGTTTGCATCAGCTCCTGGAGGTGATCCCCTGGAAGCCACCGGACCGGAGATGTTTGTCTTCGCAGCGCAAGGGCGCTGGAACCCTCACGCTGGGGTACTACAGCCACGGCAACCACCTCGGTTTGACCAAGGTCACCTCACGCCACCGCTTCCTGACAAAGTACGTCAACGCCTTCCTCAAGCACCACGGACAAACCGGCTCGACCAGCAGCCTGTTCCTGTCCCGCAACGTCCACAGCTACATCCACAAGGACCGACACAACAGCAAGGGCAGCATGAACTGGCAAATTACCCTTGGGGACTATCAAGGAGGTCGACTGTGGATAGAGGAAGGACCTGACGACATTCACCACGACCGCAGACATCAACGGATTTACGAGGGACGGAAGTTGCCCGGCAAGGTCCACGACACCCGCAATCGGCTCCTAAGCTTCCGCCCTGACCGGCTACACGCCTCCGACGACTTCACCGGAACCAGGTACTCCATCACTGCTTACGAGACTCGGTTGATCGAAAAGGCCCCTGATGACCATCTGCGTGAGCTGAGGAGGTTGGGATTCACGGTGAGGGCACCCCGGAAGGAGCCGGCCGGCATACTGCAATCTTCCTTTCAGGAGGCAACATCTGTCGACTTCGAGATCCCTCCCGACAACGAGTACGTGCCGGTGAATGTTGCTTATCCGGTCAAGAAACAGACCGTTGCCAACAAGGAGAACGAGAAGGTTGTGGCGCTCGAATCTTCGAGCGAGGAGGACGGCCATGATGGGACGTTCGAAACAAGGAGAGCGGCGATGCAAGCTCGCAAGAAGGAGGTGCACTGGCAAAGCATGACCGAGGAGGAAATCCCCGCCTTCATCGAGAGCGTCAAGAAGGAATGGAGCGAATGGGAAAAGTGGTCTTCCTGCAAACCGGTCTATGTGCAAGATCGAGAGATCCCGAATCATCTCATTCTGAAGAGCCGCATCTGTTACCGCTGGAAGCCGATACCGGAGGGTCAAAAGGCCAAGGCCCGCATCGTCATAGCGGGATTTCGGGATCCACACCTTTCCCTGCTGACGCGAGACGCCCCGGTTCTGGCGAGGACCAGTTTTCACCTGATCCTCCAGTGGGCAGCTTCGCACCGAGCTCCTGTTTGGAATGCCGATTGTCGCTCGGCGTTTCTCCAGGGCGAACCTGATACGGAGAGACCAGAAAGCATTTACATGCGAGCTCCTCAGGATCCCATAGCCTTGGAGGCGGTCCCCATCTGGAAGTGCAAGACGTTGCTCTACCGCTTGAGTGCTCCGGTTTACGGCCAGAGTAACGCTCCAAGGAGGTGGTTTGATCACTTTTGCAAGGTGCTGCTAGGTTTGGGGTGGTGCCAGCACAGCCTCGACCCGTGCCTCTTTTTGTGGCGCGTCAATGATCAGATCGTCGCGGTGCTCGGCTTGCACGTCGATGACCTGGTGAGCGCCGCCCTGAAGGACTACGCCGAGGTCTTGAACCAGGTCGAGGCCAAGTTCACTTGGGGTTCGCCATGGGTGAGCGAGGACTTCACCTTCGTCGGGCGACATGTCAAGCAATGGCCGGACGGGAGCATCACTCTGGACCAGGCCAGCTACGTCGGAGAAGTCCCCACAACCAAGGTGAAGCTCGAGGAGGCGACCTTGCTCAGCGAGCACCCCTCCCTGGTCACCGAGTTCAGGTCAGGGATTGGCTCGTTGCAGTGGCTGGCTGGGACTACCCGTGGCGACATTGCGGCGGATACCAGTTTGATCCAGAAGCCTCCCAAGGACTTGACGGTCGCTGACTTGAAAGAGGTCAACGGCGTTCTCCGCTACGTGAAGGCAACCTCGGATGCCACCGTGAAGATCGTCCCGATCGAGCTGAGCAAGCTGGTGTTCGTGGCTTACGGTGACTCCGGTTTCGCAAACGCTCCCAACAGCAAGAGCCAAGGAGGGCTGGTCATCGTGGCTACGGACAAGGAGGTCCTCCACCAGGTCCGGCCGGCCTCGCTGCTGGAGTGGAAGAGCTACCGTCACCAGCGTGTACTCCGAAGTACCCTCGCCGCGGAGGCTTCGGCCTTGGACCGTACCTTTGACCATGCCTGCTTCATGGCTATGGTGTACAGCGAGATGACGCACGGGGACTATACATCGCCACCTTAAACGACCGGGCGAAGTACGAGGTCCTCCCCGTCACCGACGCAAGGTCCTTGTGGGACGCGGTGCACAGGTTGACGACGGCTTTCACGGAAAAGAGGGTGGAAATAGACGTGGCAGCCCTGCGTCAGACTTGCAAGGCGCTGAGATGGGTGCCAACCGAGATGATGCACGCCGATGCTATGACCAAAAGATCGCGAGCTCTACGCGACGCTTTCAGGCTGTGGATGTCCGATCCCACGGTCACTTTGGTAGATAGCAAGGCCTCGAAAGACTTGGCCGTCGGTAGTGCAGCGAACGCAGCTTGGCGGTAGAGGTCAGGACTTCGCAAAATAAGACTGGTGCTAAACTTAAGGTTTCTCCTTGCGTTCAGAAGTCACTGACCTGACTGAATCCGCCGTCTCAAGCTCACCGAGGGAAGGGATCACGCGTGTCAGATCAAAAGTGAGCTCAGCTGTTGCAGCCCAGGGATTTCTTGCACTAGATCCAGGCTCCTTTCAACAGCGATATAATCGCAGCTTGGACTGGGAACCAGCAGAACTACCACAGAGACGTTGAAATCGATCGGGCCGGGCATCGCTTCTGTGCAGGCTGCACAGTCCGCTGTGAAGAAAGCTTGGCACCTTGGCCCCAAAGCCTGCCGTTTGAACGATAATGACGGCAGGGATATGCGTGAAGTCAAGTTGTCAACTTCCATGAGCAATGGCCATCATCGTCACTTTCGAGGCTTCGGAATACCTTGGCCGCTGCATCAGGCTGCTCGGGCCGCGCTAGTCGCAACTCTGAAGAGCCGTCATTAAAAGCCCCACACGCACACACACACACACACACACCAGCTTCAGTTGAGCAGGAGATGCCCGAGGATCCTGTAGCTGGGATGATAGGGCCGGTCTAGTCTTCGATGCCTCGCTTGGCCACTGAGGACATTGAAGAATTTATCTTTGAACCTGCACGGCCATGTCTGGTGAGATCCTCCAGAGATAGACTGTGCGGTGCCACGTGTTGGCAAGAACATCTTGCTGCAGGTCTTCAGACAGCCCAAGGCTTCCTGACTAAGTGGCAGATGTGACAAAAGTGCAGGTTCTGATCTGGAGAGGGTAATTTTCGTGGTGGCGATCAAACGAGTTGTGCAGCGCAGCGCATGGGTCCAACAGCCACTGCACAGAAGAATCAGCGGTTATAAGTTAAATTGCAGCATCACATCGGAAGAATCTCTCCATTCACTCGAAGAAAAAGCTGCAGCAGCAGCTGAGATTCTCCGTTTACTGCAGAGTTTTCATCCGGGCTCCATGGTTTGAGCATGGTTGAACATGATCGTGCATGTTCGTTGTGCTTTTGCTTCGGCAGCGACTTTCCAGCCTTGTGAGCCCCTCGCCATGACTGTCGCTGATTCTCCGCTGCAGTGCGATGTTCTGGTGTCCGGGCATGGACGCTTGAGAGTGATTTTCTTGTGATTTTGCGGACGACGAAGCAGCCGCTCGCCCAGCAAAGTGAACCTCACTCAGGTGGGCAGCATCTCAGCCAGCCGGCCAACAGCGTTTTGCTCGCCAGATGACACCCTCGATTCGGCCAGCAATCTTTTGCAGTCAACTGGACGCACGGCAGCCATCATAGAAAACGGAGAGAAGACTGTGCTCGGGGTACTGACAGAGAACGACATGTTGTGCCCTGGCGATTTATCAACATCGTGCCTTTTTGCAAAGCTTTTGCCAGAGCACGTTTTCCTGCTGCGTGCCTCGACAAGAGGCTGGCATTCGTGGAAGGGACAGCCTCCAGCTGCACGGTCGGCCAATGGCTTCATGGTGGCGAGGACGTTTTCTTTCTTCTGTGGTTCAATCGGTTAAATCAGTGTTGCCAATGCCACGATTTTGCCTCTGAAGAAGTGCAGGCACGATTGCCCAACTTCCTGGTTCCCCCACTATCTCTTCAGCCGGATGTGCCACTCATGGAAGCTGCAGCACGCATGGCTGTGATGACGAACGGCGCCGTGGGAGCATCAAGTCTTTGCCAGGCAGCCTGAAACAAGCATTTGTGCCCCTCTTCAAGGCGACTTTGCTTGTCATCATCTGCTGGTAGACCCGGGGGACACCGATCGAAATGTGGCCTTGCTCTCGGCGCTGGATATTGCCCGTGGCCTCCTTGTAGCTGCTTCTGCGCACGTTGGCGACCAGGCGCGCGTTGCTTGCCAGCCCACTTTCCGAGAGCCAGCTGGAAGTGAGTGACTTGAAGTAGAAGGCAAAACAGTTCAGAATCAGAAGCTTCTTCAACCTCCGCTGACTCCAGGCGCTGGAGGTGGCAAGATTGGCAGTGACACATGCAATGAAGCCCCGATCGCAAGTTCCCAGTTGTCTCTCGGCTTAGCCCAAATTTTGCACCTTAACCCCGGACCGGATGTTTTCCCGGGTTGGTCCCACTGCGTATGCTTCAAGTAGCCTTGACGGCTTAGATTTCGCTTCTGCTTGCAGGTACTCTGGCAGATAGCCTCGGGGACGCGCTTGACCTTCTGCACAGCTCGAACCAGAATTGCGTCCTTGCGATTCCCACATCGACCGAAGATGAGGGACAGCAAGAGGAAGAAGGCGGCGTGCTTGCATTCTTCAGGGGGGCAAAGCGGCACGAGCTTTATTGGATACCGCCTTGCGAGTCGAGACATGCTGCATCCTCTGGTTCTCAGGTGATCAGGTCATGGAGCACGCCATAGTGGGTGGTGCCATAACACCTGGTGATGCCCTGCGGGCCATCTCGGAGCGGGTCAACTGCAGAAGCTTAAGCTTGGGGAAATGGTTGCATAAGCATCTTGCCTCGCAGCAACAGGGGTCGGGGTATGCTTTGTGAAGGTTTCAAGACGGAAGATGTTGCACAAGGTCAGGCATCAGCCCCGAACATCGCTTTATTTCCTCAGAGAGTTCTTTGGCAGATGCGGCTGTGAGAACCTCAGCTTTTGAGTGCGTGCACAACTTTGAAAGATGTCGATGTACAGAGGCACCTGTATAAACTATAAACTGGAGTGTACACATAGTGCACATACAAACACAGTGAACTCATGAGCAAGTAACAATTGCATACATGCATATGCGCATACATACATGCATGCATACAGTATACAGTATACACACACACAAAGTGTATGCACGTGCACATTCTTACCCTTACCCTAATGGATTTGCATGTATGCATGTATAAACACAGACTTGTTTGTTTGACATATGTTTGTGTGTGTGCGCTTATGTTCGTATGCATGTGTGTATCACGGGCAGGCAAATAGGTGTGCTTGTGTCTTAAACTCTGGGGAGCTTTTATCTACACATGTAGCACACGCCCAGCCTCAGTGTTTCAGTAGGTGCTGTTTGGAATTTGAGCTGGTTGGGTTGAGGTGTTGGGCTAAGTGCATAGGGCGTCGTCAGGATTCGTTTTAACTGGACTTTAAGGCCATATCTGAACTTCTCCCTAACACGAAATGACCGACATCTTTTCCCCGATGAAAAGAATCGATGGCGCTGCTGTTCCAGCACGCCACCGACGCCACCTGCATCCTGCGAAGGCGATCATGAGCAAGACGGGTATCCACCACCTGCTCGTGGAGGAGCCAGCTAGGTCCAAGATCGTTTCTTGGCTTCGTGATGTGAATGTGCGTTGTATAGGTGAGGCCAGGCCCGAAGCAACAGCTGCGTTCAGTTCGATGCAACAATAAGCTGCAATGACAGGTTGGCGTGATTTCTGCCTTGGACATCGTTCGTGCGCTTGCAGCTGCTAGCATCACCAGCTCTTAGCTGGTCGAAAGCAGCACATCTTTTGAATGCCTGTACAGGGTCACGAGTCTTGAGTCAAGAGGTTTTATCAGAGCTCCGTTTGTTCCTGTGAGTTCTGAGTTTCACCATCGTTTCGAACCTTAGATTGCAGAGCGTGCATGGCTAGCCGGCCAGCTGCAAGTTTCGTTATCAAGGCCTCGCTGCCTGCCTTTACCTTTGAAGTGGCTTGGCCATACAGGAGGAGCCCAGGCCTTTACAAGGGCATTCCGGAACAGGCCTCCTGAGAGGTTCTGGTGCGAATGCGCATGCACGCCTCGGAGATACAAGCGGCCAGCGGATCGAGCTATCCGCCAAGCGCACGGACAAACATCATTTCAAGCATACACGAGCATGCGCAGTTCAAGTGAGAGATGTTGTGAGGTGAAGGTTTGCCAACTAAGGCCTGCTCTGTTGCACATGGGGCATGCATTCGCTGACGGCTCAAACTGTTTCCGCACACCCAGTAGCAAACGACGTTGCCGAGATGACAGGACAGAACGGCCCCCCGACCGCAAGCAATCAGTCAATTGCGCTCAAGCGTGCTGTCAGCTGCTCGGCAGGTGGTGCGCCCAACAACCCGGAAAACAACTTCTGGTTGTGGGGCATTTGGGGCAAGCGTGTGTCTGTGATTAACTCGAGCAACTGGTTGGGGATGTGTTTTTCGCATCAGCCAGACAAATCTGGGCTCTTGCACGTAGCAAAATGACAGGTTGTCAAGGCCCCCTTCCTGACGCAGAAAGTGCCGGGAAAGCTTCGCGACATTATCATCGGGCAGAATTTCATCATTGCACTGAAGGAGGACCAGTTGTAGCCGGCACGCCTCCAACGGGTGTAGTGGAACTCCCGGTGCTCCCGCTCTCATAGTATGATGACTAATTAGTACTTTTTCCCCTTTGCCGGGGGCAGATCTGCTGGTAAGATGTTTCGGACTGTTGAAACTTGCCTGCAGGATGGGAGCTTGGTGTCCTGGGGTGAAGATAAAGTTGGATGTCTCGGGCTTGGCACCGAGCAGGTCAATGCGCCTCAGCCTCACGCTTGCCTGTGCCCATGCCTTTTGTCTGGCAAGACATAAACCTGCAAGACGGACATCCGAGGTGCAAGACCCCAAGAAGATCAACTTCCCTTCTGACTTCAAAGGAAAAATCGTGGACATCAAGTATGGCAAGCACCATGTGCTTGCGCTGACGAGCCTCGGGAAGGCGTCCCCGAGTATCTCTCAAACATCGGCGTTCAGTAATGATCCATAGCTCGACAATGCACTACACACCGTCGCCGACCCTGTGCATCACTTGTTTTCTGTGCATTGCGTCCTTGCTAAGCTCCTTGTTCATGCCGGCACAGTTTGCGGAGGTCTATGCCTGGGGGCTGAACGAGAAGGGCCAACTCGGTCTGAGTGACCAACAGAATCGTTACGAGCCCGTTGCTGTGGAGGAGCTCAGGCCATACACTGTCACACAAATCTTGGCAGTGGAGACCTGGCAGCACCGTAGTGAGCCCATAGCGCAGGGATCAGCATCAAGTTGTGC